GCTCCGGGTGCCGGCACACTTCCTCACAGGCGGGTCTGCCTTCAGCTGACCTTTTCTCATCTCTGCCACTTCAATAGAGAAGGAGCCCTTCAGTCCAGTCTGCCAAGACAGGGTCCTGCAGTGACCGGGAGTGGCCTTCCTCAGTTCACCAATCATGGTCCACGTTTCCTCCTCACAAGTGAAAAGGGGACTTGAGGAGCCATGTAACCAGTCGACTATCTTAAAAACACCATGCTACTTTTCTTCCACACACTTACACATTTCACACTACATTTAAATATCTAAATAGAAACTTCGTAACAATACTCTTATAGCCACATCCTACACTGCTGTTCTTTAAACATGCATTATGCTTTTTTTCTTGTCATGCGGAGCATGAACTTGCTAAAGAAAGACAGAGAGGGCAAGTGAGACATCACCCCCCCCTCCTGATGGCATGGCCACAAAGCAATCCCCTCTCCTCCATTCTCCTCTTGGGGTTTTGGGCATGCGTGTACTTGCGTCCAGTGTAGTCTTCAAGGGCTGGGTCTGGGACTCGAACTGTGGTCAGCCATGAAGGACTCCAGCACCTTATCCATCACATCATCCACCATGTGGGACTCCACTGCCTTACCCACCACACCACCCGCCATGTGGGACTCCAGCACCTTAACCACCACCCCACCTGCCGGCCCTGTTTTTTTTGTGCTAGAAGGGCCAGCAGGTGGCTGGTGGTTAAGTCACTGAAGTCCCACATGACCGATCACAACTCGAGTCCTGCACCTGGTAGTTTCCTAGTTCTCTCTCTCTCTCCCCCTCCCTCCCTCCCTCCCTCCCTCCGTCCCTCTCTCTCAGGTGAGCACATGTCCTACAGAAAAATTAAAAAGAAAATAAGAAAAATAATCAATAAAATTTAGAAAACACATTCGGGCTAGAGTGTATGCACACTGAGAGAGGGAGAAGACCCTCCATGGGGCTCAGCAACCACATGATCCCCTTCCTTGGGCCCTCTAGGTAGCCCAAACCTTAGGAGCACACGCTCACCCCTGGCACGATTTCAGGCCACGCAGAAAGGGGACTCAAACCATGGTCAGCAGATGGCTTCCAGCCCCACAGCATGGTATGCTATTGGTCACCAGAGGCTGGCCCTCATTACGCCACCAGTGTGAATCGTCCCCGACTCTAGGTGGTCATGGGACTAGTCGTTGCCAACAGGATGTGAACAGCAGTGATGAGCAGGCTCACTCTACCCACGCCCACCCACCAAGCGGATCCAGAGGATTCCAGGGAGCTGCCCAAATTCCTGACAGGGTGCAGAAACTGAGGACTATCTCCCCTCTCTGTCTGCCTGTTTCTCTCAGGCAACGATGTACACTCTCTGGCTTTTTTCTCTCTCTCTTCTTTCTTTCTTTTTTTTGTTTTGTTTTGCTTTTCCAATAGGAACAAAGAGACAGAGAGGGAGAGAGAAATCACCCGCCAGGGGGATGGCCGCGCTGCAATCCACCTTCTCCGCACTCTCCTCTCAGGATTGTGGGCACACACGCACCTGTATCTGGTCCGATTTTGAAGCCACTGGGTCTTCAAAAAGCCATGGTCAGCCATGTGGGAGTCCAGTGCCTGAACTACCATACCACATGGGGGTCCAGTGCCTAAACTACCATACCACTTGCTGCCCCCCCCGCCCCGCTTTTTAAAAAACAACTTATATAACTAGTTGCTAATTTCACTACGCCATGATGACAGCACGTGATCTGGGCTCCTCCCTCACACCCCCTCAGATTCTCACAGTAGACCAACGCATGCTGGTTCTGCTCATTCGCTGTCCTTCCAGAACGTGGGCCAGACGGTGGCAGGGCAGCGAGGCAGCACCTGTGAGGCTGACCCACGAGGAAGGCTCTGGGTTCATGCACAGAGACATCCCCGGGCGTGCGTGCCCACGGTTCAGGCTGGTGAGACTCGGGTGGACTGTGGTGTCGTGACCCTGTTGGGGATGCTGTGTATCTCTCTCTTGTGGAAGAAAAATTTTTTGAGAGAGATTTTTGCTATAAGGTGCATGTACTCGCCAGAGAGACAGAAAGTGAGAAATCATCCCCCACCATGAGAAATCATGGCCATGCCACAGACCCTTCTCCTCTATTATTTTTTCCCCAGAATCTTGGGCATGCATGCACACACGCCTAGTGTGAGTTTTAAGCCACCAGGTCCAGGACTCAAACCGTGGTCAACTACGTGGTAGCCCAGCGACATAACCATTACGCCATCTGCTGGTCCCCAAAGAAACACATTTTAAAAATTTGTATTATTCATAAATTCTATCTGTTCTCCTTTTCTTCCTTCCAAGTGTATTTCTCAGTTCTATTCACTATATTGCTAATTTGATTAACAATTAGGTTTTTGGAGGTTTTTTTTTTTTTTTAGTGTTTTTAATCTCTTTTTGTGGCTTGGCTTTATTTGTTTTAGACGCAATTTCCTTTATCCAATCAATTTTTAAAAGTTGTGTTGTAAAATGAGCCAGCAGGTGGTGTGATGGTTAAGGCACTTCATTCCTACAAGGCCAACTCCATGGTTCAAGTCCCAGGCCTGGCAGTTTGAAACATACCCGAGAAGAGAAGGAAAGAGGAAGGACTGTGGCGCGGCCACTTGCCCCCGCAGAGGGTGATTTCTCACCTTCCCTCTCTCTGACTTCCTCCTCAAACATGCATATGCAATGGCAAAAAACAATAAATTATTTTTTTTAATTGTGTAGTAAAGTCTACTGTGATCTCATTAGAGAGAAGACAATCTCTCATCTCCTAAAATTCTCATTTCGCAGGAATGACTTTTCGCTGAGCTCACACGGCTTTGATCTGTCTCCATTGTTGACCTTTTTCTTTTCAGACACAGCATAGTTTGCTTACTTTTTCCAATTTACTTACCCTAGAACTGGATTTACAGCTCATTATTAATGCTGTCAAGTCTGACACAGAGCAGATCTTCTGTCTTTGGAGAAAGCTGGCAGGCCCGACATAAAGCACACACAGGGTTATCTTCAACCTCCCAGCCTGCCACTAAGGTGCTAGCCGACATCCCTTTATGACACGGTGAGCGAGTCACTTCCCAGGGCTCGTCCTGCTTCTATTTTCATCGATTTTTGTGATAGGCCAAAGAGACTCATCCAGTACGAGAGAGGGAATAAAGCCCCTTGGAAGGACCGAGGCCAGAGTTGTGGCTTTTTTTTTTTTGGAGAGGTTTTTGCTATAGGGCGCGTGTGCTCGCCAGACAGACTGAGAGAGACATAGAGACAGAAAGCAAGAAATCACCCCCTGGGGGGATGGTCACGCCACAATCCCTTCTCCTCCATTCTCCTCTCGGGATCTTGGGCACGCACGCACATGCGCCCGGTGTGAGTTTAAGCCACTGGGCCCGGGACGCGAACTGCGGTCGACTACATGGGAGTCCAGCGACATAGCCATTATGCTAACTGCTTGTTCCCAGAGTTGTGGCTTCTCTTCCTTCCTTCCCTCCTTCCTTCTGAGAGATTTTTGCTATAGGGTGCATGCGCTCACCAGAAAGATGGACAGAAAAAAAGTGAGAAATAACCCCCTGGGGGTGTTCATGCTGCAATCCCTTCTCCTCCATTCTCCTCTTGAGATTTGGGGCACACATGCACATGTGCCCACAGTGAGTTTTAAGCCACTAGGTCCGGAACTCAAACCATGGTCAACTACATGGGAGTCCAGCGACATAGCTATTATGCGATCCGCTGGTCCAAAGGCCAGAGTTATTCCTACCTGGCAATGCAACACTGATGTGGAACGTATCAATACAACGCACAAGAGAGAACGGCATGAAAGCAAACACATCGACTGAGTGTCTCAAGGGTACTCAGCCTGACAGAACTATAGTCCAAGGTGCTCCGAATCAAAAAAAGTCACGTGGGCTCATAGAAGCAGAACAAGCGACCAGCTTTAATGACACAGAAGCCGGTGAACACCTGCACGTAAGAGACTGGAGAACGCAGACTCGAGGGTGGCCGACTTCCCGTACTTATAAACGATTATAGAATTGGTATCAGAACCAGGAAATGCTCCCAATGCCAGAACACCATGTGAGAAACTGAAATACTATGTGTTTAGAAATTTATAGATGATGATTTAAATGAGTGGTTTTTATAACCACTTGTGAAAAGTTCCAAATTCGTAAGGAAATTGCCAATGAAACTGTGTAGCTTTTCACTTGAACCACGTGTTAGAGAAAAACAGGCGCTAAATCCAAGTGTGACTCTTACCCTGAAAAGTCAGCAGAGTACTGTCCATAGTCAAAGATGTACACTCTAGTGATTTGGCACACTGTCAGGTATCCCAGAGCGAACACGAAACAGTACCTGGAAAACAAAAGCAAGTGAGATTGGTGAAAATAAAAGGTTCCCTTTGTTACAGTGTACATCGTAAAGTAATTTATTCGCCAAATTACGTAATTCGAAAATTAAATATTACTGGATCTACTTTACGATTGGCTTTTGTTAATAAGTTATGAAAACTCTTTACCAGTACCTGCTTCGTTTATTTGCCCACCACCTTCAACAGTAAATGCATCTGGTTATCACCTTATTCATTTCCTTCTAAAAGACATCCACACCCAACTACACATCTAAAAGCCATCGCAAGTATAAAAATGTGATTACTGGTACTCTATTCCTCCTTTTTTTCTGAAAAGCAAAATTTAGCACAAAAGTAGTTGGCTAAGATGTACATTAAACAACTTCCTAACAGGATTTAAAACTTGCCTTCCACAGCCTAATGTCAGACTTCCTGGTCAGGAGGTCTTTAACTGACATTTTATAGACGTGATCACTGAGTGAGTTTCACAAACTTCACAGGTTTGGGACAGAGTAAGAGCAATAAAAACACAGCACAAGAAAGAGAAGTGACATAGTAACAGAAGAGGACAGGAGCCAGGAGCAGACTCCAGAACAGGTAACACCGTACAGGATAAACGCTGCGAAGTGAATTATCAGGGAATGGACAGAGTATCATCTGATTAATTAACGATGTGGGCTAAAGGAAGGAAATTACGTTTCTCTCACAGTAAAACAATTCTAGATGGCTTAAAGAATAAAATACAAAATATAAACCACGACAAACGTGGCTAAATAATTAAACTGCCCTCAAATTTAGAACTTCCTAATCATGTATAAGAGATGAAAAAAATAGAAACAATAAATTTGGCTAAATTAAATCTTTTTAAAAAGTTTTGCTAGAACACAAACACACTCACTGAGATAGAGAGAAAGCAAGGAAAAACAATTTCTTCTGCTCCACGTCTTCTCCTGGGATTTTGGGCATGCACACACACACACCCAGCACGTTTCCCAAGCTGCCAGGCCCAGGACTCAACCATGCAGTCAGCTGTGTGGGATCCAGTCACCTTAACCACTACACCACTGGTCAGCCCAAACCTAAAATCGTCAACTTGTCATGTAAGCAATTTAAGTGGTCTATGAAAATGTTATTTTGAAATTTCAAGAGTTAAGTGTGCTCCCCTGAATCATTCCTGAGTGAAGAGCATGGGAAAGTTGTACAAAGTGAATACCCTCGCGGTCCCTGGATCGGACACATGTATGCACAGACTTTTTGAAGCCCCCTCATATGTGGAGTATTACTGAGTGCTTCTTCACAACTACGTATGCAGGGTCTCCAAGTTTGCAGCTTAGTTTTCCAAATCTGGGGTGTATTTCACAGTTGCGGCCATGCACTATGGTGACGTATTTACACCACAAAAGTAGGCAAACACTGAACCTCTTCTTGGTGGTCTCAACCAGGGATCGTCAAAGTAAGGCCTGTCAGACAAGATCACCCACTACCTGTTTGTGCAAAAAGCATTTGACCATGCCAGGCCACTGTTCGCACTGGCTAGGGCAGCTAGGCCTGATGGCAGCACAGCCAGAGTTTCAGCAGCAATTGGATACCCCTCACAGCCAAGGATGTTCACTACCTGGGCCTCTGGGAAGAAGTTGGAGGACCCTGATTTAGAATTAAAGTAGTAAAGAAAACATACTGCACCCTGAACTGTGAGAAGTCGTGCCCTAGAGCCGTTACACAGTGAACAGTAAAAACACCAGCAAGCAAACGAAAAAGCCAGACCTCGTTAACATAAATAAAGGCACTGACCAACATCCATCTGGAACTACATTCGTCTGCCAAGGACAAGAGCAACTATTCAATATTTTGCCGAACTGGGCAGTAACCAAGCACCTACTATAGTTGATTTTGTCAAATCGTGGTTGAATTACAACCACAGGTTAGTTCTAAGAGACTGGCAAAAACTGGACCATTCAGTTTGCTTAAGGCAACTGAATCCACAAGGCTGACTATGTGGTGTGAGTCCTGGACCCAGTGGCTTGAGAAATATACCAGGCACATGTGCACATGTGCCTAAAAGCCCAAGAGAATGCAAACGGGACTGCAGCATAGCTCTGCCCCCAGGGAGTGCGTCTATCACCCCCACTCCCACCTCCAGTAAGCACATGCATTTGACAGCTGGTAAAAATCAAAAAGCATCTTATAAGAATCAGTTAGCTACATTAAAATTTACAATAAAGAGTAATGCATGTTTTATTATTTGTAAATTATGTACTATAATTACATTAAATTTGTAAAATTGCTAATAAGCTATGCATGTTTATTTTGGACATGGCTTTTCTCCCCCAGAAAGCCAACCAGCTGTTTAACCATCTACCCCTGACTTAGCGACGTGCAGTTACTGTGCTCCTGAAACGCTGCTCGTCTAAACTGAGCTGTGCTATGGCCATAAAATACACCCCAGGTTTGAAGATCATACAAAACAAGGGATTGGAAATGTCTCATTAATAATTTACTGTGATTATAGTTTGAAATAATATTTTGGATGGATTGGTTAAACTAAAATATATTACTAACATTCACCTGGTTTCTTTCTTTTTAAACTGCGACTATTGGAAAATGCACCATAGTATCTGTGACTTGCATTGTATTTCTATTTCATAATGCGAGATGGTTTTCCTGAAAAGAGGAGACAGCTACCAATCAGGTTTTTTTCACACTTCTGTGCACCCCTGAGGTAAAAAGGCAAATGGCAGCAAAACAGAACCAGAGAATTCTGGAGGCGTTTTTGTTTTTGTTTTTGTTTTTGTTAGAGGGCACATGCACTTGTGAGAGAAACACAGACGGTGAGGAGAAAGCACAGCCCGGGAGCAGCCACACAATCCCTCCTTCTCCATCCCTCCCTCCTTTCAGGGTTCTGGGCATGCGCGAACACCCATCCTGTCTCTCAGGTCAGACCATCGGTCAGCCACGTGGAACCCATCAGTTGCCTTAAGCAGGCCACAGAGCTGGCCCGGAAACACCTTTTATTTATTTATTTTTTTTTTGAGAGAGAGATTTTTGCTATAGGGCATGTGCTGGACAAACAGAAAGCGAGAAATCACTCCATGGGGAAATGGCCAGGCCTCAATCTCTTCTTCTCTCTTTCTCTTTGGTCATGCGTGCACACACACGTGCCTGGCGTGAGTTTCAAGCCACTGGATATGAGACTCGAACCATGGTCAGCCATGTGGGAGTTCAGTGCCTCCACCACCACGCCACCTGCTGGTCCCAAACCTGGTCCTTTGATGAAGTTGTTGAGCTTCTACACTGACTCAGGACGACACTCCACAAAGAACCTAAGCGGCGAGGGTTTTTTCCTATTCTCTGCAATGAATGCACTTCTAAACAATACAAAAGTTTATCAAACTTTTGCTACCTTTTCTTTTGAATCAGACTGCGGGGAGGGGTGCTGGGAAAGCCTTTGACTGTCCAGGCCCGCACATCAGCTGAGGATGCAGACACGTGGTCAATCTGCACAACATTATTTTCGGCGGACAGCGACTCATACCTCTGAGCCTCACTGCAGTTTTCAGAGTCACAAGCATGCAGATGCCACCCAAACAGACCCGGGCCACGCTAAATAACAGCCCTGTCGCTTCATATTACTCCTACTTGCATGATCTTCACACAGTTGCCACCCTTCCGGACCCTGGTCCTCTCAGCAGGAAGGCAGATGCAGGGGTCCCGCCTACCCCACGCTAGCACTGTGGGCTCATCCTCCCGGGAGCTGACTGGACCTTGGGCAGGCATGAAGGTAGGGCTGGTTGAAGCAATGCGACACAGCATGTGGGGAGGCTTTCCTCCTCCTCAGGGTGAGACACTCGCCTGAGTGCTGGTCTGTACTCACAGCTGTCATCTTCGGCTTCAAACAGGCTAGCCTGAAGACAAAGCCAACGTGCTGAACAGGCAAAACAGGGAAATGGAATAGAAACTCATAGATATATATATTTTTTTTTTTTTGCCTTTTTGAGAGGTTTTTGCTATAGGGTGGTGCATGCACTCCCCGAAGAGACAGAAAGACAAAGCAAAAAACCACGCAAGAGGAGTGGTGGTGACGCGGGTCTGCACCGCTGTCCACACTTACGAGACAGGTAGATGTTGCTGAAGGCAAGTAACCCCTAATTCAAACTTGATGAAAGAAAGTACTTGGAAACAGAATCCCTTTGTCCCTGGCCTCAGCACTGTTTGCTTCTCTTTGCAAGAGAGTTTCATCCAGTCCTGAGACTCTACGTCCCTGCTCTAGGATGACAGATCCCGGCTGCTACATCCCTAGCCCAGGAGTCTCCTGACATCTGCAATCAAACCAACAGCTGGGGTTTTTTTGTTTGTTTTTTTGCCATTGGTTGTGTGCACTCACCAGAGCGAGACAGAGAGAGAGAGAGAGAGCAAGAGAGAGCGAGAGCAAGCACGCGCAAGAGAGAGGGTAAGTGAGAAATCACCCACCAGGGGTATGGCCACACATCCCTTCTCCATTCTCCTCTCAGGATTTTGGGCATGCATGCACACATCTGCCTGGTATATTTCTCAAACTGCCAGGTTTGGGACTTAAACCCGTTCAGTCGGCCATGTGGGGTCCAGCCACCTCAACCATCATGCCACTGGCTGGCCCCTAACAATTATTTAGCATCTCGACTTGGTTGCCTAATGAGCATCTCCAACTTAACCATCATTCAAAAAAAAAAAAAAAATCCACATCCAACCAAGACAACCCTTTCTCCCGTGTTCTGTGTTTTGGTTATTGATCTGATCCTTTACGCACTGCTATGCCCCAAAACTAAAGTCATTTATAATGTATAAATGACTCATCCTATACCCAGACATTCAGACCTTTCTCTTTAAAATTTTCTGATTTTTATTCCATGAGTGAGAGTGAAAGACAGAGCAGCCCAATGCAAAGATGCCGCCCCAGCTCCTGCCAGTCTGGATCATGGGCCTGTGTGTGCTCCAGATAGTCAGGGAGTTCTCTAGATGCGAATCAATA